GCTTCCGCAAAACCAAGGTATGTGGGCGACCTCTTTGGATGATCCCGGCCCATTGCTCCCACAGGACTGGACAGTTCTTGTCTTTGAGGAGGTGCTTGAAGTTGATGGATCGGGAGATGTCCCGCTTCTCAAAGGCAGCTTCGTCTGCCTCGACATCCTGCCAGCCTTTCTCCTTCTCCTTTGCCTCCACATACTCTTTGCGAAGTCTGCATAGCTTCCGCTCCACGTCCTCGACCGCTTTGTGGTTCACCCCGAGGAGCATGTGAATGCTGGACTGCTTGACATTGTGGAGTTTAAGGAGCAACATGGCCGCCTGTTCCTGCAAGGACTTCTGTGCTGAACCGGTGCCTTCAGTGAAGAGAGGATGAAGGTGATGTGGGTTCATACGCTTGTGGCAGTTCCGATGGCTACACCTATGCTTGAAAGATCCGTCGTAGTAGGGCTGGAGCTTGGAGAGGAAGCCTTTGCAACAGAACGGGCAACGTTTGCCTTCCCATTTGATCAAGAGCTTGTCTGCCATCAAGATGCGAATGATATCTGTGCCTGTAGCCTTCAAGAGCTCAGGAAGAGTGCGCTTCCACTTGATCTGGTCCTTTCGCTGGCCACGGCTAGGCAGGGCAAGCTTGTCACGCACATAGGGGATCTGCTTCCAAAGCTTGGTCTTCCTGGCTGCAGGACGCTTCTGGACCATACGTTTCTTGCCCTTCTTGGGGACCACCGACACGGACTTCCCCATGGATCACTAAGTGGCACAGCAACTAGCTCACAGACACCGAACTAAAACAAATGCTGATGAAGAGGGACAGGGTGAAGTAGCAGTTGGTGCACAACTTTGTGTCAGTACATCACTGCAATGACAGTAAGAGGAAACTACCAAGCTTAGCTGCCCCTCTTGTACTCAGACTGGCATTGCTTCGGTTATGAGCAAGAACTGTTCAGATGGTGACCTGTGCCTTTTGTACAAAGACGCTAAGGCATTGTTCTCACACCATTCCCATGAACAAGTGCACAGCTTGACCTTGAGGCTATTATGTCCTAAGCACTAGACCCCCAAACCCTAAACCGTACATCCTATACCCATGACCCTAAAGTCCGATGTAACATCCCTGTGCTCCCATGTCTTGCCTTTGTGTTTTGTAATGCTCTAACCTGTAAGTGCATAAACGAAACCAGCAAAGAAGGCAGGACATGAGCAATCCAAGTGCTTAAGGTAGGGAAGGCCATAATGTGATGTGAGATTTTTGGTACTAGTGCCAGGCCATGAGAGGCTCAGATGTTCACTTGCTGCTGTTCTTCCTTGTCAATGATGTTGGCCAGCTCTTGGAAAGGCCACCGAACTCTTGTGAGAGATCGGCCATGGGGTCATGAACGGAACCACATTGGGAAGCCACATCCATAGGGGAGCCTTGGGACACATCATTTGCATGCTCAATGCCATCAGCAAGAAGAGGAATGCCATGTACTGCACCATCTGATGGCTCCACGGGCCGCGCGGTGTCAGCACTTTCGGGCTCCATGTCCACGGAGACCTCGCTTTTCATCTCCAAAACAGCTGGCTCTGTGGCAGCTTTTTTGGTAGGTGGGGAATCCAAATCGATTACTCCAGTGAGTACTGAAGACAAAGCTCTGCGAAATGGGCGGGGCTCCTCCATGATCGGCACCGCTTTGGGCATAGGAGACGATGCCGTAGAAGAATTTCTGGTAGCTGGGGCTGGGTGAGGGCTCCTTGGCGATGCTTGGGGTGGAGGAGAAGATCCCCAGAAAAGGTGAATTGTCTACACTAACCCTAAGCCCTGGTGGTGGGTTTCCGGCAAGGATGGCGTCCACATAGTCAGCTTCCCATTGAAGATCCGCTTCAAAAGTGCTGGGTTTTGTCTTCTCGTTGTCGCGATCGGCCTGATACCGTTTGCCTGCATTGGGGTAGAGGAATTCTACCGTAGAACTCTTCACCAAGCACTGGACCGAGATCTCTTCCTGTGTTGCTGGACGAAAAATCATGATCTGACCTGCATTCACCAGGAGGTTGGCTCTTTTGAGAACGGCCATGATGTGGGGCGGTTCGGTCCTCTCAGGGAACATGGGGGCGATGACCTTCAGGAAGTCCTCATGCTGCATATGCAGTGTCGTGCCACCGGTGATGCCTTGATGTTGGTGCAGCCAAGGTGTGAACTCGAAGTCGTTACAGACAAAGATGCGCATCTGGCCCTGCACGAATTTGGCTGCCACCCACCTCTCCTTTGTGAGCATAGTACAGCCTACATCAGCAAACCCTTTCATCTTCCGGATTGGCTCGGAGGCGAGGCAACCATCATCATGAATGTCTGGCCTGTCCTTTCGGCCAGCCTGGCCCCGGAAGAAATCAAATTCGCTGGCTTCCCGAAAGGAGGCAGGGCTGGAGATGTGGAGAGCTCGCTTCCAGTACCTGGAGATAGACATTGCCAATATGAAAGCCAGCGGTGTTTTACCACTGCCTGGTCCACCAATGAAGCCAGTGGCATGGGTCTTGAGTTGCTTGAGCATGTGTCGCACAGCAAAGTCAAGCACTGAATAATCCACATGTGCAAGGGTGAAATGGAAGTCTTCCACAGGCAAGGCCAGAAAGCCATCGCTTTGCAATGCCGTGAGTGTTTTCTCCACAAGACCAGGAGGCCAGCTGTAGATGGGCGACTCTTGGTCAATGTTCAGGTTTTTTGTCATCCACTGGACCCTCTTCCATTCTGTGCCAAGTCGTCCGGATTCTTCCTCTATGACGGCAAAGCCTTTGTTGACATCCTCTTCGCTGAGGGTGGCCATGTAGCCACCAGCCTTGGAACCATCAGCACGAGCTTGGTGACAAGGAAGAAGATGGGTCAGTGTGTATTGACGACATTGCCACCCACCAAGCTGCTCCAGGAACCACTGGAACCCCTTGCGGAAGTTCTGTGCATGGCCCTGCCATTTCAAGGTGTGGGGTGTTCCAAAGCAGAAAGACACTGCAGCAGCCCTGCTCAACTTCAGGTCAGGCCTGTGCTTGAGGATGGAAACACTTCCATTCTCTTGTGGGATGACAACGAACTGAGTGATGAGCTTGACCTCCACGTCACACATCAAGCAAAAGGGCTCTGGCAACCGATCCCTGCCCCAATGGCCACTGTTGGTCACCAACTCAATGGCAGACTTGTCGGGGGGTGGCACATTTGTAATGATGTCGACTATGTGTTTCATTCTTCCCACATCACCCCCCTACCGGCCATGCTGCTATCTAGCAATCTCGGCAATGGGGGCGCGATCACTCCAAGTCGATATTGAGAGGCAGGTAGCTGAGGATGTAGCTCTTCATGCAGCTTGGCAGAGTGCAAGCAAACAGCGCTCAACAAAGTAGCATGTTTTTCTTGGCTTGCTGCTAAAGGCCCACGAGCCTTGTGCTTACACAGTTGAGCTCCCGGTTTATAGTCCCGTCGGCCCCGGACTGGTGTGAGATATTGTTCTACTTTCTTTACCTTCTGGTGTAAAGCACTGTTGGCCAGTAGGACAACTCAGCAAAGTAGCATGTTGTTCTTGCTACAGGCCCACGAGCGTTCAGTTGAGCTCCCGGTTTATAGTCCCGTCGGCTGCCTGGACTGGTGTGAGATATTGTTCTACTTTCTTTACCTTCTGGTGTAAAGCACTGTTGGCCAGTAGGACAGGACCCGGTTATATATGAGTCTTAGCTTGGCAAGTCTTTCCTCTCCTAGTGTCGTTGAATATGTTGTTGGGCCTTTGAAGCTCGAGGAAATGGTGGAAAAAGTTGGCCCCACCAATTTTTTCTGAGCCTAAGCGGAGGAAAAAGTTGATGGGGCCAACTTTTTCTAAAATTTCCACCATTGACAGAGAAACCTCCTGGAAATCCAGTAAATGGTGGAAAAAGTTGGCCCCACCAACTTTTTCTGAGCCTAAGTGAAGGAAAAAGTTGGTGGGACCAACTTTTTCCAAAATTTCCACCATTTACAGAGAAACCTCCTGGAATCCAGTAAATGATGGAAAAAGTTGGCCCCACCAACTTTTTCTGAGCCTAAGTGAAGGAAAAAGTTGGTGGGGCCACGTTTTTCCACCAATTCCTTGATTTCCAGGAGGTTTCCAGGAAAATGGTGGAAATTTCGGAAAAAGTTGGCCCTACCAACTTTTTCCGAACCTCAGTGCTGGAAAAGTTGGTGGGGCCAACTTTTTCCACCAATTCCTGGATATCCAGGAGGTTTCCAGGAAAATGGTGGAAATTTCGGAAAAAGTTGGCCCTACCAACTTTTTCCGAACCTCAGTGCTGGAAAAAGTTGGTGGGGCCAACTTTTTCTACCAATTCCTTGATTTCCAGGAGGTTTCCAGGAAAATGGTGGAAATTTCGGAAGAAGTTGGCCCTACCAACTTTTTCCAGTACCAACTTTTTCTGAGCCGCAGTGCTGGAAAAAGTTGGTGGGGCCAACTTTTTCCAGTATTCCTCAAGGTCAGAGGTTTGCATTTGAAATGCCCAACCCCCGCCCATGACCCACTAC